ACTGTTTATGACTGTTACTGACTGTGCATGACTGTTACTGAGAGTGCATGACTGTTACTGACTGTTACTGATTGTGCATGACTGTTATTGATTGTGCATGACTGTTACTGACAGTGCATGACTGTTACTGACTGTGCATGACTGTTACTGACTGTGCGTGACTGTTACTGACTGTGCGTGACTGTTACTGACTGTGCGTGGCTGTTACTGACTGTTACTGGCTGTGCATGACTGTTACTGACTGTGCATGACTGTTACTGATAGTGCATGACTGTTACTGACTGTGCATGACTGTTACTGACTGTGCGTGACTGTTACTGACTGTGCGTGACTGTTACTGACTGTGCGTGGCTGTTACTGACTGTTACTGACTGTGCATGACTGTTACTGACTGTGCGTGACTGTTACTGACAGTGCATGACTGTTACTGACTGTGCATGACTGTAACTGACTGTGCATGACTGTAAATTGTTGTGAATGATAATGAATGCATGACAGTTGGTCTGCATGACTGTTAACGGGAGGTGGTAGTTGTTTTTGACTGTGCATGACATCTCCAGATGGTGTGTAAGTGAGGGTGACAGAGTAGACGGTAATGGGTGTGCATGACAATGGGTGTGTATGAATTAGTTAATGGGAGTGTGTCTGACAATGGGTGTGCATGGGTTAATGGGGGGTGGGTGTAGGAGGAGGGTGTGCATGACTGTGTATCGACTGCCAGTGGGTGTGTTTGTAGGTGTTGTTGTTATTAATTTTTATTGGGCATGCATGACTGTTTTTGAGTGTGTATGACTGTTTTTTGAGTGTGTATGACTGTTTTTGAGTGTGTATGACTGTTTTTGAGTGTGCATGACTGTTTTTGAGTGTGCATGACTGTTAGTGACTGTGCATTGACTGTATTTATATGTTTAACTTATTTCTCGTTTATCTCTTATTTTCTTTATGTTCATTTTTATTATATTTTAATTTCTTGAATTTTTCTGGAATAATTTTGTGTTTCTTCGTGTTATTTTTATTTGTTTTTTTTATTTATATTTTTATTCATTAATATTTTTTTCTTGATTTTCTTTTTCTTTATTTATTATCTTGATTTTTCTTTGTTTATTTTGTTTATTTATATTTTTGGGGGATTTTACATTATTTTTGTTTTTTTCTTTTAGTCAATATATTTTTTTTTTGGGGGGGGGTTGATTTTTTTCCTTTTTAATTATTTTTTACGTATTTTCTCTTTATTTTAGTTTATTTATTTATTTATTTATTATAACATAAAAGGGTCACACCGACCACTCAAACTCCTCGTTACCAACAAGCCAACGAAGTCAAAACAGAGACAGGAGTTGGTTCCTGATTGGCGGAAAACCTTGCCGGCTTTTGAGGGGCAGATGATGTCTCTTCTGGGCACCATACCCAGCCAGTTCAGCTCTCAACACCACCAGCGGGTACTTGTCCCTCCCTGTTGCTCTGTCGTGGAGTGATCTACTGTACACGAGGACTCTACTGGTCATCTGGTATAACGTCTTAGTACAGCTGAGTACATTATTTGTTCACTCTTGTATATGTGTTTTTTGGTGTTTATTTAGGTTTAATTATTTAGGTTTTTATATTTTTTACTTCAGTTTTACTGGACAATGAACACCCACAATTATTTCCTCTTTGTTCCGTCACTAGATCTCAAACTTTACTTGACCCTAGTGCTGATGCTTCGACCCAGCCAGGTTATGACCAGGGACAATTTGATTAAAGCTCTGAAATAAATACTTCAGTTGCCAACTTTCATCACATATGAGTACCCAAGTCAGACATCGTTAAAGTCCCTTGTTCTTACTATCAAGATGATGTTTTAGAAAATATCGTCCAAAATATTTAAAGGATTAGGTCTCCTGGGGTGACGTCCATCACATAGTGGTACCCTATTGTGTTAAGAGTACAGCTCATAGAACTGGCTCATGATGCCTTAAATGGTCACTTGGGGATATGTAAAACTTGCAACAAACTTAGTCCAGTTTTTTTCTGGCCGGGTATGAAAATACAAGTTGCCAGCTGTCTCCAGCAGTGTTCGAAGAATCTTGAACGAGACTGAACCATCAAACCGTAAAATCAATGCTTGACAGATTTTGTTTAGAATCAAAAGCTATTTGGAACGAAGGGATTAATTTCATGCTCATTGCAACTAGAGAATACCGACAAGAATCACTTGTATTCTCACCTTTTGGAATGTTGTATGGTCGTCAAGTAAGAGGACCCCTTAAAGTTATAAAGAACAATGGTTCAGTAAAGTTGCAGAAATTCCCAATCAGACTGTTGGTCATGACCTTGATAGTCTTGAATCAAAATTAAGTGAAGACAAATTGCACTTGATAAAAAATAAATCAAAGTAAGATAAGTTTTAATGATGGAAAGGTTAAAATCCGTAAAGTCAATTCAAGAGATGAAGTATTACTGTGTTTGAGTATTCAGGCTCACCCCTCAAATGTAAATACCAAGGCCCTTATAAAGTATCTCCTCAATTAAATTAAATTACAGTGTTCTAACTCCTGACCGTAGAAAGGACTCTCAACTAGTACATCTTAACTTAATGAAATTCTATCGCAGAAGGAATCCTCAGGGTGACTCGGGTGAGACCAGGCGTTATCTGCTTAGGACATAGGAAAGGATAGTCCTATTGTAGGAAGCAGACAGGAAAATTTAAGTGTGCAGGGATGGTCCTGGTAGATGCCATAATGTTCTTCATGATACAGTATTGAATTCTAACGCCACTCCTATACAACAGAATCCTTACCAACTCCATCCAGAGAAGAAGGCCAAGATGAAGGACGAAGTTGACTACCTGTTGGAGCAGGATCTGATGGTACCCAGCTCCTCCCCACGGGCTTCTCCTTCCCTACTGGTTCCAAGAGAGGGAGGCGGATTTATGTTTTGTACAGACTATCGTAAATTAAATTCATTAACTGTGCCAGACTCTTATCCTCTCCCATTAATTGACGATCTTGTTGATACCGTAGGCCAAGCCAAGTATGTTACTGAGATCGACCTACAGAAAGAATATTGCCAAATTGGATTAAGAGAGCTAAAATAATGTCCACCTTCTGTAAGCCATTCGGACACTTTCAGTATGAGGTTATACCGTTTGTGGTGGCTAACGCTCCTCCTGCCACATTTCAGCGCTGTATAAACATAATATAAAGTCTTGATGCCACTTATTCATACCGAGATGGTTTGGTTATTTCAGATAAATGCGGTGTTCACGTCGCCTGCCTTCGAGCTCTCCTACAGCGCTTGGACGAGGCAGGCCTGACTATCAACCTGGCGAAATCCCAATTCAGTCATGCCACCATCACACACCTTGGACACATCGTAGGTCAAGGACGATGTCGACCCAAAACTGCCAACGTCGATACCATCCTCAACTTTGCAGTACCCACAACCTGCAAGTCCCTTACGAGATTCTTTGGAATGACAGGGTATTATGGGAGGTACTGCGAGAATTTCTCCTCTGTAGCTGCTCCGCTGACCTCTATTACCAGCGGGAAAGTCCCATACCAGTGGGAACAAGCTTGACAAGAAGCCTTTCACCAACTAAAGTTGCTAGCAAGTGATCCTGTTCTCAAGTCTCCAGACCTCAATAAGCCCTTTACCTTACATGTGGACGCCTCGGGTGAGGGCTAAGGTGCTGTCCTTCTACAACTGGAGGATTCTGATGAGGTAGTTCATCCAGCCAATTATTTCTTGACTTGGCAGAAACCTCACCAACGTAACTATAGTACAGTTGAGAAAGGATTAGCCCTGGTGTCTGTCCTTTGAGTGTTATCTCCAACATCCTATTCATGATGTTCACGTCTTTACAGACCATAATCCACTCATCTTCATCGAAAAGGCAAGACGCAGTAATCGATGTATTCTGCAATGGGCCTTCCTGATCCAGCCTTTTCGTGTCAAGATCAACCACATCAGAGGAGAAAACATCTTGGCAGATACGTTATCCCGGGAGGCTGACCTACCTCATTGACCATCTTTTTGCACTGCACTTGTGACCCCTTCTACTTGTCGGCTGCTGGTCTCCTTCTACGACTACGGTGGACTTCGAGGGGGAGGTGTAACATAGAAGGGTCACACTTCCCTGAAAATACGCGGAGTCTTCACCTCTACCTGCACGGCTTACTCCACAACCACCCAAACTACTAGTTACCAACGAAGTCAAAACAGAGACAGGAGTTGGTTTCTGATTGGCGGAAAACCTTGCCGGCTTTTGAGGGGCAGATGATGTCTCTTCTGGGCACCATACCCAGCCAGTTCAGCTCTCAACACCACCAGCGGCTACTTGTCCCTCCCTGTTGCTCTGTCGTGGAGTGATCTACTGTACACGAGGACTCTACTGGTCATCTGGTATAACGTCTTAGTACAGCTGAGTACATTATTTGTTCACCCTTGTATATATGTTTTTTGGTGTTTATTAAGGATAAGTACTGTATATCATATTTAATAATCTCTTGCATATTTTTCATGTTCTGTTACTTATAATGTGTTGGGTAATGTCATATGAACCATGAGTGAGGTATCTACTATCTCAACTAAGCCAAGTAATGCTGTATAACTAAGCCTTCAGTAAAAGGCAACTAGGAAAGTTTACAATACAAAGTTTGTCATTTGTTACGTAATTGGGCAAGAGTTATAAGGTACTATAACTAAATTACTTCAACCAAAAAGACCCTAGACACACACACATCCTTTAAATTTTTAGATATAAGTAAAGTAACTTAAGACGTTTGCCTTCTTGATTACTCAGTTTCCGTAACATTATTTATTTACTTTGATTTTTTAACCGTTTTCTTTCTTTGTTTGTTTATTCATTTAATATTTTTAATTTTCTTTTCTTTGTATTTCTATAACTTTGATTAATTTTGTCATATCATTTTTTTTTCTCTTTAAAATCGTGTTATAATCTATCCATGTATGTATAAATAGTGTGTATCTATTTAAAGGTTGAGTAAATGAAACATGTATTTAAATGCCAACAAAATATATTCATATATCATAACCAACAGGTGTCCGTACAATATGTCTGTCATAGTATATACAAGCAGTGTGAGAACCCCGGGTCAGCAGCTATTTGGATTCAAGTCCAATTCTCAATAACACGTAAGTTAAGACTTTCCCCTTAACTCTAACTTAAGCGCTTGTAGTTACGGTAAAGTCAGAAATTCTCACATACGTCAGAATTATTTTTTACCTTAAGTGAGCCAGTTTAGAGAATTATCTTTTGTATATTTTAAGGGATTTTTTTGTTAATTTACGATATTTTGAGAATTTAGGACCAGAATCACGTAACAGACAATAAATTTAATTACATAAATATTCTGAAATTAAAAAAAAAATTTACAAACTAATATTACATTAATTTACACTGAAAATCTGAAACCATTATGGATTGCATTTTGGAGTTCCATTTAAATTTTTCGTTAAAATTAAACTATAAATTTTACAATAAAATTTAAAATGTATGGATTAGAATTTCAATGTCATATGTGTTAAAAAATAACTATAAAAATACATAAGAGTTGAGGCTATTTGATCCTCTGTGATTTAGTTCATTTTGTATCAAATTCTATTTCTAAAGTCTGCTGAACCTCCTGACTAGCCCAAAAATATAATAGCCACAATTAGTGACCAAAATATACACAAAAAAAAACTTTTTTTCAATTATTAATATTTCTTCTGTACAAACTGAGTACGAAAACTGTACAATTTTTATTTTTCTATAAGCTTAATTATCATAAAAATCTATATACATTATATACATTTCGATATATGAAAAACTATACGAGGCGTTGATATAATGGGGCCTCCCGGATGATTTTTTTCAATATTTTTTATAGGATTATCAACATCGCCTTAGCACGATTACCTATCGCATACTAGGAAAACAATTGAGAGAAATGCCTTATTGTAAGTTGTGAACGAGTCGGTATTGAACTATTGTGTAAAAATGAGGAAAGCAGATTTGTAAATGAACAGGAAACCATTTTTAGTTTTTGGCTTGTATAAAAAAGTAAATGTGTAAATGAGGGATATAGAGCCCATTTGTCATTGGACTTTCGTGTAAAAAAAATTCTTATTTGTAAATGAAGGACAGGAAGCCACTTAGTATCTCGATTATTTTGTAAAGAACAAGTTTTGTAAATGAAAACGATCATTTACAACCGAACTGATGTGTAAATGAAAAATATCACTGACTTTATCATTAAACTACCTTGTAATAAAGTCTTGTCAATGAAGAATAGGTTCCACTATTATGTAAAAAAAGAAACGTGTAAATGAATAATTGTAAATTATCATCGGGCGTCCTATAGCACTTTTACATACGAGTTGTACAAAAAAAGTTGTAAATTAATCTCACTTGGACCACAGACATAAGGCACTACGTTTTTTTGGTGTAAATCGTTTACATTTGCACTCGGGTGTCCTACTCCTTCCTCTTTTACAGCTTATGTCAGTGTGTTTTTTACGAGATAATCCTCAAACAAAACTGGGCGTAAATATAATTCCTTAATTTTTTCCTTGATTTATGAGATTTTTTACACCACCCCCCCCAAAAAAAAATCAAATTATTTTTAAGAAGTGAAATAAATCAGTTTAAAAAAATTATTGGATCTAGAAAGCTATTGAAAGTAAAAATCAAAATATAAAAAAGTAAAAGTAATAAAAAATAAAACTACTGTATAAGATAAGAGGAAAATGCATTCTAACATTTATGAACAAACTCGAATAACAGGAAAAGGTGAAAAAGGAATTAAAAGAAGATAATTAGGAAGGGAAATATGTGTGATGATTAAAAGGTGGTAATACAAATTAACTAATTGGTACAGGTATTTTTTTTATTTAATAATTACGTTAATTGTAATTCTGACGTAATTTCCTCAATGAATACCTTTGTTACTTTTAAGGTGTCATGTAAATGTAATTAATCACCTAATTACCTCAGTTTCTAGAGTAATTTTAGCTCTTAAGTCAAACACACACACACATACACGAGAGGGGAACACAAATAATTTTACGGACTTTCTCAGAATGACAACAGCACCAGGAGTTTTCTCTCTCCCCTCCCCTCACCCTCCTCTCTCCCCTCGTGCTGCCATCTACTCTCATCCCTCTCCCCTCATTCCGCCGTCTTCCGTCACTCCTCTCCCCTCACCTCCCCTCACGTCAACAACACGTCCCCTTTTGTCTCCCCCTCTTACCCCTCACTTTAAATTGGCCCATCAGACACAGCAGTTGTCCACCCCCCCACCCCATCCCCTCCTCCTCGTCTCCCCTCTTTTCCTAGACAACAGCACTCGTGAGGGGCTTGTAGGAGGGGCGGGGGGGATTGTTTTGTAGGGGATGTTGAGGGACCCTTTGTATAAACACAGGAGGAAGCTGAGGGCGTGTCGTAGCCAGACTGACACACACACACACACACACACACACACACACACGTGGAGGTGGGAGGCTAATGAGATCACCGGTGGTGTTTGTCTGTTTGTCGTTATTGTTTTAGGTAGCTGAGGGGGGGGGGCGAGATATTGGGGATAACAGACTTAAATTATTTCCTATAATAATTTGTTGAAATTCCTACGCAGTTTGTTTACCTTTAACTTCCCGCCAAATTCTGGAATGAGAATTTCACGCCAAATTTTGGGTTAACGCCCCTATAATCACATTTTCCCCTCTTCTCCCCTCACCGCCTTTCCCTTTTCCCCCCTCATCCACCCTCTCTACTTCTACGGGGGGTGTAGGGGCGTGGTGGTCGTCGTCAGCTGGTTCCCCCTTTCATTGGCTGTGTTCCGGGTTTGTTTACTTTCGGAATCCTGAGAGAAGCTGTCAGGAGGCAGTTAGTGTCAACATGTACTTTCCCGCGCGCGCCAAACCTCTCCTAAACCCTGCATTGATAAACCTCAATATCGTACTTCAAAAACTTTCCATAAATTCTAACTTTATTTTTCGGGACTAATAGAGTTTGTTTGTTGTTTGTGTGGCTGCGTAAGGGGGGGGGGGGTAGTTTGTGGATGTAGTTAGAGGGATAAGAGAGTGTTTGGTGGATGGTGTTTGAGTTCACGAAGTCACTGCTGCGTGCAATGTTTCGAACGAGTTTCCCTTCCGCACGTGCTGGTGTTCTCACATCTGCCGAGATGATGGGGGAAGAGGAGGAGGAGAAAGGGGGATGGTAAGAGGCGAATAAGGAGAGGAAACGGAAGGGAGGATAATAATAGAAAGAGGCAAAAAAAGATACGATAATTAATAAACAAGAAATAAAAAAATAATAATAAAAACAAACCGAAAAAGGTCATAAAAACATTAAGTAATAACATACGTATAAATTATATTGCCCAATTTTGTCTCAGGAATACCTATTATATATTTTCAACTGAGTAGCTAAAAATTTTTATATAATAATTAAGTCTCGAACATCGTATTTAAATCAGTATTTTCCTTCAATACTTAAATAAGGGATAAAGTTTTTAGGATTTATTTAATAAATTCAAATAAAAAAACATTACAGAATTTTTAAACCTATAAGAAACTCACAAATAAATTATGTTAGAATTTTAAAACATTAACAAAATCAATTCACAAAAAATCATAAAATTTTAAAATATTTTTTTTAATAATTATAAAAAATATCACAAATTTTTACATTAAAAAATTTAATGATTGTGGAGAAGATTGTCCCATGCACCTATAATGGTTCTTACAATAGACTTTTATTACAATAATTTTACCATATTTTTTAACTTAGAATTTTAAAGTATTTAGAGCTCTCAGTTGACAGTATGTGTTATCTTATGCAAAGTTCAATGGAGGAACTTCATATTCAATGACAAAATCTAAGAATGTTTTATTTTTATACATTATTGAACTCTTACTTGACAGTAGCCTACCTGTATATCATGTCTTATGCAAATTCAAAGTAGTCTTCAAAATTAATGTCTAATACAAATTTCAAAGACAGGAGATTCAAACTCATCACTTCTGATTCAAGTGTTAAAGTGTCAAGGTTGCCGTACGCCTCTAATTCAAACTTCTAATTCAATATCAGTAAGAACTATCAAAGACATACAAGCGTAAGACCCGTCCTGTCACCTGATTGGCTGTCGTCGCTGCCATCTGGCGGGGGAAATTTGAACTTTGTTTTGGCAGCGGCGACAACCAAAACAAATGCGGTGGTGCCAAGTCTCACATCATCATGAGGGGAGGAAGAGGGCGTTGTTGCCAAGTCTACAGTACACGTCTTTTGTGAGAAAAATATTAATAATTCCACTAAATTAAGCCATAGCAAACAACATTATACAGATCACAATACTTGACAACACCGCAAAGCATAGAGGGCAATGGATGGTGAATAAATGGGGGAATAAGAGAGAAAATGTGATAAATAAGAGACAATTGACCAGAGGAGAGAATGAACAGACCTCTGGTATATATCTGGTTAAAATAAGCGACTCGGAAACACTCAAAATTTTCCGAAATTTTTTACATATTTAGAATTAGATTTTGATACCAGGTTAAAATTCACTAGTCTTAAGGTTTATTTAATTTGATTTTGAAAGAATTATCAATCTAAGGAATTTCGAAATTAATTTACACAAATACAAAACATTGATAAAAAAAAATATATATAATTATTTTTATTCAGATGCAAAAAACAAAATCCAATTCGCTTATTTCATTACAGGAAATGAGTCATATATGAGTATACTTATTTAACATACTTATTTCATTAACAAGTATATTTATGGACATATTGAACTATATCTCCCGAGCGAGCAGTATGCCATTATATCACTAAGTCTCGCTTGACAATATTCACCTAACATCAATGTGTGCACTCTTAACTAGCACCTCAGTACATATGAGCACAAAATAAAGACGGCGAGACCAAGTAGAGATCGTAAACAATATGGCAGAATATCGTATTGGTGTAAACAGGAAGACAATAGGAAGACCGTATGGTTGTAAACACAGGAACAACGACCGTATTTCTGTAAACAAAGGACAAACAAAGACAACATTACTATAGACAAGGACAAAGTGATGATGATAAAGTAAACAGACGAAATATTGATGTTTATGACACATAGGAATAAATTGATACACTTGAAGTATTGCATAACACATTAAGGGTTTCATAATAACTGTCAGACACCCGTGATTGCTGACAGGCTGGCAGTCGCGAGTGCTGACAGACCAGAGTTGACAGTCATGAGGGGGCTGACAGTCACGAAGGCTGACAGACACCAGAGTTGACGGTCTTGAGGGGGCTGACAGTCACGAGGGCTGACAGTCAAACACTTGAAACACACAGAAGCAAATGACGTGTGAAGGACAGGTGGACGGCGTTTAATGTGTTTCTGGGCAGTTTATCTCAACGTCAGCCACATCCACGGCGTTGTCTTGACGCGGAAGAGCTGACAACGACAGCCTCATCCACGGCGTTGTCTTGGCGTGGACAGGCTTGTGTCGACAGCTTTCCACGGCGTTGTCTTGACGTGGTGAAGCTGACGACGACAGCGAAGCCCATAACGCTGGGCTGGCGTGGAGGGGGCGCCCATCCCTCTCCCTCATAGACTAGAATAAATGATTCAATTATAAAATATCAAACTTGTCTTTTGGATTTCCACGTAGACTATTACGTCACAGGTCTTTTGTTGTTATTATTACTAAAGATGAGTTCTGCGATACACTAAATAAATATGTGAGTCGGGCACTCGGTGGGACTGAAGACATCGCACACTGTCACTTGGTGTCTGTGGAGTGTGTTTGGGTGGGGACCCCTTGAGTAGGGGCGTTCACTCGGGGCGCATATAACGAGGCGCTCACTGTAAGGACGGCACCTCTCACTGCACGGTGGCGTTCACTGGAAGCACTGTTTCTTTTGGGGGAAGAGGGGGTAGAGGGTGTCACTGGTGTAAATTCAGTCGTAGGAACACTGGGTTTGGATGAGTCACTTGGGGGTCGTGGGGGAAGGGGTCGTAGGAACAATGGGTTTTGAGGGCTCACTTGGGGGTCGTGGGTGGGGTCGTAGGAACACTGGGTTTCGATGAGTCACTTGGGAGTCGTAGAGGGGATAAGGAGATGGTCATAGGAACACTGGGTACTAAAAAAAGATCACTGTGTGTGGAGAGGAAAAGGTCACTTGAGAAGACGGATATCTCAGGTCAGACAAGGTCACGGTATGACCTGCATTATTCACTCGTCTCTCTTCTTCTTCGCCTTCCCCTCCACCTGAATGGTCCTGGTGGTCAAGTCGACACACTCGCTGAAGGAAGGTTCCGTTCCTCCCTCGCTGTAGTCGTGACCCGCCAGCCGTGACAGCGACAGGATATACGAACAGGCTATTCTCAATACCGAGAGCTTCGACAGCTTCTGGTTGTGACTGTACGCTGGCACAGACGTCCGTAACTTCTCGAAGGCGGCGCTGATGGTGTGGACGCGGTTCCTCTCTCTGGCGTTGGCCTCGATGCGTCGTTCTCGCGTCATGTTCTTGTAGTTACGTTGTTTGTGTTTGTTAGGTTGAAGAAGCGAGTGGATGGTGTCGTCGTCGTCGGCGGGGCCTGGGTCGCCCTGCACGCTGGACGGTATATCGTCGTCCAGGTCGTGCGCCTCGCGGGACGGACTGTCGGACGCGATCAGAGATTCTACGCTGAGGAACTTGGACGAGGCCTTACCGGTCTTGCGGACGACGCTGACCTCGGTACCCCGGGGCGGGTGGTGGTGTAAGTGGTGGGCGGGGCTGGGGGCGGCCACCTCCGGTGCCGACACTCGGGTCACCAGCGGCAGTGGCAGGTCCTCCCGCACCACACGTTCCTCCGTCGGGGACCTGGGCGGCGGTGGTGATTTGGGCGGTGGGGAGGCGGGCTGGAGGTGTGGGTGGAGGGGTGGGCGGTGCAAAGGGTAGTGGTGGGGTAGCAACATGGGGTATGGGTGTGGGGTCAGGCCAGGGGTCAGACCCGCCCACCCTAACGGCGTCACCATGCGCGGGTACCCCCACTGGGCGGCCACAGGCGGCCAGGCGGGCGGCAGCAGAAGGGGTGGAAAGGCACCCATAGGGGGCCGCCCTAGGGTCCCTAACAACGGGTGGTGGGCCAGTAGGGGCGGCGCCCCGGGGGAGGGGGAGGAAGGGGCGCTCTTGTCCCCTACATCAGTCTGGTGCTCCGCCCGCAGCGTCTTGGAGGACCTGGGAGGGTCAGGGCTGTGTGACCGCTTGTTGGCGGGGTCATGACACAACCTGCGGGGCTCTGCGGGCTTGCGGCGGCTGCGGGCTGCGGCGCGTGTCCCAGGCGACAGCGGCGCCGCGCCCATGGGCGGCTCCAGGGGGCTGGCGGGGGGGCTGGGACGGGACTGGACGGCAGGGCTAGGTGGGCTACCCACCCCGGGGGATGCCCGGGCGGCGGGCGAGGTGGTGTACTCCTGCCGCAGGGCTGAGTAGTGCTTGCGGAACTTGTGGAACTTGTGGTGTGTGGGCGGCGTGGGCGGGCGTGTGGGCGGGCGGGTGGGGGCACGGATGGGCTTCACTCTCACCTCCACACTGTCCTCGGAGGCGTCGGTCGGGGAGTGATCGTCCTCACTGAGACAGTCGTATCGCGGCCCTCCCACCTCCACCTCCTCCTCCATGCTCCTGTGGACGACAACACGAGTTACTATATCTCTCTCTCTCTCTCTTTATATATATATATATATATATATATATATATATATATATATATATATATATATATATATATATATATATATATATATATATATATATATATCTCACCCATTCTCTTCCTTAGATTATATGATCAAATATTGAACTTAAATTTTATTTTATAATTTTATACTACAAATAATAATAATAATAATAGAAATCTTAACAGTAAACTTGACAACGGTAACTTATAAACAGTATACATTCAACGGTAACCTGACACAGCATAAATAACAGCCATGGTAGCCTAGAACACACGTACTTATAACACACAACGGTAGTCCCTCTAAAATACGTAAAAACACGGGGCTGAGTCGCTCGTAAAACCGGGGCTTTGAACCGTAAAAAAAAACCACGAACACAGACACGCAACCACGATCCCCGCCCCCCTCAACCCTGCACCCACACCCGTAAAACGACGTCACACCACGCATAATCTAGAACGTTTATATTCGTGTTAATTTCATATGTGCCCCAAAACCATAGACATCTGAGGTAAATTGGACGACTATTTCCCACGTTATTATCGTTATACACAAGTGAGTAAAGTGCTTTTGTGAGTAGTTCTTGTGCCTTGTGCTTTGAGGTGTTCTGGAAGCGCTTGAAGTGCTTGTGTTTAGTGGTGGAGGGAGGGAGGGAGGGAGGGAGGGAGAAGAATTTGGAAGACTGGGAGGGAGGGAAGGAGAAAAGATTGCGACGGGGAGGACTAGGGTGGATAGAAGGAGTGAGGAATAGAGAGGAGAGGAAAGGTGGGAGGGAAGAGGAGGGGTAGAGGGAGGAAGGGAGGAGGAGGCATAGAGAGATGAGGGAAGGAAGAAGAGATTGTTGGAGGAGGAAAATAAGAGGAGAGAGAGAGAGAGAGAGAGATAAGAACAGAAATACGCATGTAAAAACCAAAATGTTAACCTAACCTAACCTAACCAAACCAAACCCAACCCAACGGTAACCTAACCAGACCATACCATATAACAGAGCATTTAATCACCAGGTGTAACAAGACCATGGCTGGGGCGGGGTGGACTAATATTGAGGTAACACAAAACTATATAGCGTATTCTCTTCCTCCACTACCCCAGGTGAATGCGTGTAAAAATCCTGAGAATCTGTTTAATAATAACAAAAAAGCGTAAAAAAAAAGCCTAAGTCTGGCGTATCCCACATCCTTGGTCACGCGTAAAAGATTCTCGTGTATAATTTACCGTCCTTTTTGTAAGGATGTGTTAAGCACCTGTAGGAAAGATGGTTCTGAGGTAAAGATCTGTTGGGCACCTGATTTTCCTGATTTTTCGCCTGATTTTCCTGAATTTTTGTCTGATTTCCTGATTTTAGTCGAATTTTCCTCATTTAGAGTCAGATTTTCCTGATTTTTAGATTGATTTATTGATTTTAGTCTGATTTACCTGATTTAAGTCGAATTTTCCTCATTTTTAGTCTGATTTTCCTGATTTTTTTGAAGCATGGAAACTGAATGTCCAAAACCCCGTTATATAAAAGGCAGACCAGAAGAATTATTTAGGCGATCCAAGTCAACTGTCTGAACGAACCAATTGAAACTCGTGTAGCGGTTCCTCCAGCCAATCATAACCTTCCTTGAGGGCCTTGCGTTCTACAGCTAACCGGACATTGGCCATAATCAAGGGAAGGGGGGAGGGGGGGAAGGAAGGAGGGTAGGGAAGGTGAGAGGAAAGACTAGGCAGTAGAGGAGGCGGAAGTAGGAGAGAGAAGGAAGGAAGGAGGAGGAGAGGGTAGGGAAAGGATAGGAAGCATCAAAGGAAGATATAAAGGAAGTGGAAGAGAGAGAGAGAGAGAGAGAGAGAGAGAGAGAGAGACAGTTTCAGGAAGTAGAGACAAAGTCCACAAATAGTGTACGGTGCAGAGAGGTGTGGAGAGGTAGGTTAGGTTAGGTTATAGGTGGACAGGTAGGTGAATGAGAGCGTTTACGGGCCTGACAGTGCCTTCAGCTACCTGTTAAAATTCGTCTGTTTTTGCTCCTTATTTTCCCTCGTATTTTTGTCGTATTTCTTCTTATTTTGTCGTATTATTGTTATATTTCATTCGTATATTTATTAGGTTTGGTTAGGTTAGGTTCAGGCTAGGTTTGGTTAGTATTAGGTTAGGATTACGTTAGGTTTGGTTAGCATTAGCTTAAGTTTGGTTCGTATTAGGAAAGTTTAGGTTAGGTTTGGTTAGTATTAGGTTAGGTTAGGTTAGCATTAGCGTGATTAATCTTCAGCCCCCAGAAATAGTCCCGGGGCTATATCACCAGACTATAGTGAGTGACCGACCAGCAGACCGCTACATAAACACGAGGGGGGTGGGGGAGGGGGCAGGGGCTACTGTGTATGTATGTATGTGCGTGTGTGTGTGTGTGTGCGTGTGTGTGAGTGTGTGTGTGTGTGTGTGTGTTTGGTCATGAGTATGTAAGCTGTGTTATGGTGATTGATGTGTTGTTGTTTACAGTGATGATGGTGGTGATGGTAGTAGTAGTAGTAGTAGTAGTCGTAGTAATAATAATAATAATAATAATTTACAGATGGTGTTAAGAACCGACCCTGGCGAAACACTTCCTAGTTGGTGGTAAATCACATGTAATCATCGCCAGAGCGGGCAATCAACAGGGCCTGGCGATCGTCACCACCAACCCCTTCAGTCACAGCCTTAAGGTAACTACGCCAGACACACGTATGCCTGGAGTGGCGTTGTTTTTATAGTGTCATTTTATATTTGTTTTTTAACGAAGGTGAAAGCTCTGCCACCACTACTACCCCACAATTTATCACCACCACCACAATCTACCACTACTAACGCTACTACCACCACATCTTCATCACGATCTACCACCACCACTACTACCACAATCTACCACTACTACCTGCATCACCACCATCGTCGTGGGAAGAACTCACTCGTGTGTATTATTTGGTCTCTGTCTCATTCTCTCCCTCCCGTCATGCATTCTACCTCACCTCCCTCCCTCCCTTACCTCCCTCCCTCACGACACTTTTCTCCCTCTCTCCCTCCTCCCTCCCTCCTTTCCCCCCTTCCATCTCCTACTCCCATTCCTTCATTATTCTTTTCCTCCTTCCTATCTCCCCTCCCACTTCCTTCTCTCCCATCCTTCCTCCTCCCATCTCCTCCCTCCCTCCTTTCCCCCCTTCCATCTCCTACTCCCATTCCTTCATTATTCTTTTCCTCCTTCCTATCTCCCCTCCCACTTCCTTCTCTCCCATCCTTCCTCCTCCCATCTCCTCTCCCTCTTCTCTCATCTCTTCCCGTTTTCCACTCATATATTGTATTTTTGTTGATATTATTCTTGTTTTCTATTTCTTCATTTATCTTTTTCTCTTTGTTTACCTTCTTCTCTAAGTAAGCACAGGTGAGGGTAATGCTCTCTCTCTCTCTCTCTCTCTCTCTCTCTCTCTCTCTCTCTCTCTCTCTCTCTGCCGTGATAGAGATTCACCTGTATAGTAATTTACACCAGGTAACGGTCTCGTAGTGTCTCAACCCAGAAGCCGAATTGTCACGCATAAAAAAAATCCGTCTTAAGTAGCTATATAAGCATAGTAATAATAGTTCTTTAACCTACTAGTTATTTATATACGTTGGAATAATAGTTCTTTAACCTACTAACTATTTATATACGTTGTAATAATAGTACTTTAACCTAAATGTGGATAGTGATGTGGATACGAGCTATTTAATCAATTTTTTTGTGAATGAAAAGGCTATATATCTTCTTTCGTAAACATGCGGTGAAGTGCGAACTGTATAAGGTATGTTGTGGGTCAATATTTTGTAAATACGCGGGAAAGTCTCAACTGTGCTATGATTTTTAGTGGGTGTGTGTTAGGATTACTATGTGTGGATAAACAGAGCAGGTTAACAGGATAATTCTTCATCTTCGTCTTCTGTTCTTCTTCTTCGTCGGTGAAAGAAGAAAGCGGGGATAATAAGGAAGAGGAAGATGGCAAAAACTATGATAAAGAGGTAAGAGATTTGTAAGTAAATGAAGGAAAGTAAACAGTGAGGGATTCATATTGACTTCTACATTCCCTTTACAAGTTAGTGTCAAACTCGGAACTGTGACGGGGAAGGTTCCACTCATTGTAAACAGACTGTAGAATAAGGGGATGGGGGAGGGGATGGCGAACATGAGCGCCTGCCTGGCGTTTAGTCGAAAGACGAGACCTGTAGATGTTACGTGACACGGACGGCAAACTCTTGACAAACAGACGGTGAAGTGAGAACTGTTTGAATTAAGCGACAGCACGGAAACGGAAGAACATAAAAGTGGTGAACTGTTTTGTAAATAGGCGGAAAAGTAAAACGAGAATAGTTTAAGATATACAACACAGGAAGCGCCGGGAATAAAAAATGTCTCCCTTTAAGTAGATCGCAAAGTGAGAACAGTGTAAGATAATCGTCAGACTCTTAAGTAAACAGATGGTAACCGCGAACTGTGTGAAACAAGAGTTCAGCTAGAGTACAAGTGGGAATAATAGCTTGAGTACTACAAGAATAACTGTAAACTACTTCGGGGTTACATATTTACTGTACGGTTTTGTAGAAATAAAACTGTATTAACGATGTGAAATTATTGGGTTGGTTAATTTTGTAAACAGACGGCAAAGTGAGGAACAGTGTTAAAACAAGGTGGCTTTAATACTACCTCCCTCAACCACTCTCACTCATTCTCTCTCTCTTATCCTTCTATCGTTTATCCCTCCTCCTTTTCCCCCTCACTACTCTCTTTCTCTCTCCTCCCCTCTTGCGGTCCCCTCATGGAGATTAATTCCCCTCGCAGCTCATAACAACACCTACCCCTGTGTTTCCCCTTCACCGCCTTCCTATCGACCGCTCAGTGAGTGTATCGGTCTCTCTAAGGTTTAGCTATCGGACAAAATTTCATCCTCTCTCTCTGTCTCTCT